GGCTCTTTAGTTCTTCTTCACTTTCTGCCATAAGGGTGGTATCATCTACATATCTGAGGTTATTGATATTTCTCCAGGCAGTCTTGAGTCCAGCTTGTGCTTCCTCCAGCCCAGCATTTCTCATGATGTACTCTGTGTATAAAGTTAAATAAGCAGGGTGACAATATATAGCCTTAATGTACTCTTTTTCCTATTTGCAACCAGTCTGTTGTTCCATGTCCAGTTTTAACTGTTGCTTCCTGACCTGCTTACAGGTTTCTCAAGAGGCAGGTCAGATGGTCTGGTATTCCCATCTCTTGGAGAATTTTCCACAGTTTCTTGTGATCCACACAGTCAAAGGCTTTGGCATAGTCACTTTACAGAAGTGCATTCATTTATTTTAGAAGAGCATTGGTAATTCCATTTGTTCTTAAAGAAAAAAGACATGATCTGTAATGGCCATAACCACCTGTGTGTGGGTTTTGGTGAAATCTGTCACTCAAGAGTGTATATTGGACTCTTTTTTTGTTACTGCTTTTATTATTGTTTTTAACTTGCCAGTTATATCTGCATATATTTTAAAGAGCCAAATAATCCCACAAGAGTTATAAAAAACAGTGTCATTTTGCCGTGAGCCCCGTAACACAAGCACACCAATTCTGAAGGCATCAGCCAAGCCAAGGGCAGTCTGTTGGTGGTGCCCTGGCAGAGGGCACATGTGTGCTGGTGGTAGAGGGGGGCCGTGTGGACAAACACAGTGCAGAGGGGAGTCAGAGGTTAGAAATGAAAGCAAACTCGAGTGGGTATCCTGCACATCAGACCCAGAGCCTGAGCTGGTAAGAATGGCGAACCGTGATCAAAGCCAGTCAGCCACGGAGAGGAGAGTCTTTGAAGTCGCCTCTTCTGAAACCTGGTGGCCACACCAGTGTTTCTGGGAAGGCACTGGCCTCTGTCAGCAGCAGCGGGGTGCTGACCTGCCCCCTCCATATCCCCAAGCCTCACCCTGCATCCTGGTGTGGGGGCGAGGGGATGCCCTGGCCCTGCTGTCCCCTGAGCTCTCAGTGGTGAACATGACCCTGACCGCCATCCTGACAGTGAGCATCTGCTAGGTGAGAGAAGAGGTGAGAGAAGCCAGGCCTTGATGTTGTGCTCTGCTCTGGGCCACCCTGACTTACACACGAACAGAGTCCCATCCACTGCCCATAGGCGTGGCCTCAGGGCAGCGCATGGTCAGCACAGGACCCTCGCAAAGAGCTCTGCCCTCAATGTCCAGCATCCGTATCCTTCATCCCAGAAGTCACCTCCTGCCTCCCTTCCTTGGCATCGCCCATATTTATTCTGATAATTTGGTGAACAATAAAGTTTCCAAGTTCTGTTTGATTTTCTTATTGAGAAAAATTTAGCCAATTAAAAGCTTCCAAACATACTCTATGAAAAATGATCAAGCGTTAATGTTGCCCAACAGGGGACAGTGTGCCTGGAAGCACATCTCTTCTCTGCCCTTGATCCCAGCGGAAACAACTCAGTCATTAATCAACCAGGCTGATAAGCCTAACGTAAGAACTACGGTATTTGTACCTTAGCTTCACAAAAGTGAAATACCCTGATGGCAGAAGCATTTGACAATGTTTCAAGGCTTTTACAACTTAAGTGTCTTGAAACCACACATTCTGTCACATGTGCACTAGTGATTTCTCTCAGTCCTTGTCATTGTCAGTTATAAAATACTCATTTTTCTTTGAAGGAGTAGTTGGGATATCCCCTTGTGTTAGGTACAGGTTACTTTGCCATATTTTGAGTGAAGATGTGGAGATGGAAGGGCTGATCCTACCCCATGCTGAGAGGGTGTGGGGAGCAGCACTGATGCTGCTCTGGACTGTGCAGACCAGCAGCCCACTTCCAGGAGTTTATTTAATGGAACCACAAGGTCAACTGTGCAAAGTTTTATATACCCTGGATGGTCATGGCAGCCACTTCTGATAGTGAAAATTTAGAGTCAATTTCTATATGCAAAATTTAAGACAGTGGTTAAATTACAGTTAAATTTGCCAATAACATGGAACATCATGTAGCCATTAAGAGCAAATAGATTTAAATGTATCTTAATAATTTATCATGTTCACTTTTGAAAGATATTATAATATATACATGTATAATGATAAAATATGTGCTCAGTTCAGTTCAGTCGTTCAGTCGTGTCTGACTCTTTGCAACCCCATGCATCACAGCATGCCAGGCCTCTCTGTCCATCACCAACTCCCAGAGTTTACCCAAACTCATGTCCATCGAGTCATGTGATCCTATTAAGTGTGTGTCTGTGTGGGTGTATGTGCAGATACACAGTACATACCTGTTAGTATTTACAGAGAAAAAGTTCCAAAAGGTTAGGCACCTCAATGTTGAGATTGATGTTATGATAATGAGGGGTGTCTTATGTGGAGTCTTTTTGTTTTCTGCTTCTTATTCATTAATTAATTATGTTTTTATATCATATAATAAAAACTCAGAAGTTTATATAATAAGTAACTTTTTTTTCCAGTTTTTATTTTTATTATTTTTTCCATTTATTTTTATTAGTTGGAGGCTAATTACTTTACATCATTGCAGTGATTTTTGTCATACATTGAAATGAATTAGCCATGGAATTACATGTATTCCCCATCCCGGTCCCCCCTCCCACCTCCCTCTCCACCCGATCCCTCTGGGTCTTCCCAGTGCACCAGGCCCGAGCAATTGTCTCATGCACCCAACCTGGGCTGGTGATCTGTTTCACCCTAGATAATATACATGTTTCGATGCTGTTCTCTTGAAACATCCCACCCTTGCCTTCTCCCAGAGTCCACAAGTCTATTCTATACATCTGAGTCTCTTTTTCTGTTTTGCATATAGGGTTATCGTTACCATCTTTCTAAATTCCATATATATGTGTTAGTATACTGTAATGGTCTTTATCTTTCTGGCTTACTTTGCTCTGTATAATGGGCTCCAGTTTCATCCATCTCATTAGAACTGATTCAAATGAATTCTTTTTAATGGCTGAGTAATATTCCATGGTGTATATGTACCACGGCTTCCTCATTCATTGGTCTGCTGATGGGCATCTAGGTTGCTTCCATGTCCTGGCTATTATAAACAGTGCTGTGATGAACATTGGGGTGCACGTGTCTCTTTCAGATCTGGTGTCCTCGGTGTGTATGCCCAGAAGTGGGATTGCTGGGTCATATGGCAGTTCTATTTCCAGCTTTTTAAGAAATCTCCACACTGTTTTCCATAGTGGCTGTACTAATTTGCATTCCCACCAACAGTGTAAGAGGGTTCCCTTTTCTCCACACCCTCTCCAGCATTTATTGCTTGTAGACTTTTGGATAGCAGCCATCCTGACTGGTGTGTAATGGTACCTCATTGTGGTTTTGATTTGCATTTCTCTGATAATGAGTGATGTTGAGCATCTTTTCATGTGTTTGTTAGCCATTTGTATGTCTTCCTTGGAGAAATGTCTGTTTAGTTCTTTGGCCCATTTTTTGATTGGGTCATTTTTTTTCTGGAGTTGAGCTGGGGAAGTTGCTTGTATATTTTTGAGATTAATCCTTTGTCTGTTGCTTCGTTTGCTATTATTTTCTCCCAATCTGAGGGCTGTCTTTTCACCTTGCTTATAGTTTCCTTTGTTGTGCAAAAGCTTTTAAGTTTCATTAGGTCACATTTGTTTATTTTTGCTTTTATTTCTAAAATTCTGGGATGTGGGTCATAGATGATCCTGCTGTGATTTATGTCAGAGAGTGTTTTGCCTATGTTCTCCTCTAGGAGTTTTATAGTTTCTGGTCTTACATTTAGATCTTTAATCCATTTTGAGTTTATTTTTGTGTATGGTGTTAGCAAGTGTTCTAGTTGGTTGACCAGTTTTCCCAGCACCACTTGTTAAAGAGGTTGTCTTTTTTCCATTGTATATCCTAGCCTCCTTTGTCGAAGATAAGGTGACCATAGGTTCGTGGACTTATCTCTGGGCTTTCTATTCTGTTCCATTGATCTATATTTCTGTCTTTGTGCCAGTACCATACTGTCTTGATGACTGTGGCTTTGTAGTATAGTCTGAAGTCAGGCAGGTTGATTCCTCCAGTTCCATTCTTCTTTCTCAAGGTTACTTTGGCTATTCGAGGTTTTTTGTATTTCCATACAAATTGTGAAATTATTTGTTCTAGTTCTGTGAAAAATACCGTTGGTAGTTTGATAGGGATTGCATTGAATGTATAGATTGCTTTGGGTAGTATAGCCATTTTGACAATATTGATTCTTCCAATCCATGAACACGGTATATTTCTCCATCTGTTTGTGTCCTTTTTGATTTCTTTCATCAGTGTTTTATAGTTTTCTATGTATAGGTCTTTTGTTTCTTTAGGTAGATATACTCCTAAGTATTTTATTCTTTTTGTTGCAATGGTGAACGGTATTGTTTCCTTAATTTCTCTTTCTGTTTTCTCATTGTTAGTGTATAGGAATGCAAGAGATTTCTGTGTGTTAATTTTATATCCTGCAACTTTACTGTATTCGTTGATTAGCTCTAGTAATTTTCTGGTAGAGTCTTCAGGGCTTTCTATGTAGAGGATCATGTCATCTGCAAACAGAGAGAGTTTCACTTCTTCTTTTCCTATCTGGATTCCTTTTACTTCTTTTTCTGCCCTGATTGCTGTGGCCAACACTACCAAAACTATGTTGAATAGTAGTGGTGAGAGTGGGCACCCTTGTCTTGTTCCTAATTTCAGGGGAAATGCTTTCAATTTTTCACCATTGAGGGTGATGCTTGCTGTGGGTTTTTCATATAATAAGTAACTTAAAGTAAATTTAAATAATCATAGCTCGTTCCTTTTTCCTTAGTGGTTATATAGCTCAGTGGCTGTTCTGGCAAAATGCTTGGCTTACTAAAGTCAGCAGTTATGGCTGTGGCTTCCCGTCTTCAGTGAGTTTGACTGGAGAAGCGGCTCGGCACGTGGACATCTGACAGCATTTGTCTATGCCTCTTCCTGCAGGTTGTGACACTCGGGTCCAGCCCACGAGGCGGCTCTATACCGTGGGCCTGCCTCCCGAGGGGTGGGTCCCCCCTCCACCGGAGCCCCCGAGTTGCTCAAGTTCAGAGAGCTCTTCCAGCAGCGAGGACACAGGAGGTAAGACGGCCAACAGCCTTCAGGGACTTCCAGGGTCGTAACTTCACGTGAACTTTAATGGGGGTGCGTGTCACATGGCCATGTGGTCTGCAATCATTAGAGACACTTGTGAAGATGCATAACAGCACCACCTCAGGTTGGGAGGGGACTCAGGTTGGGGTGTGATCTCAGCTCCATTGTTAACACATTACACATCAGGAGAAGTCTGGCATTAATATGTCCAAACTTGAAAGTGCTTCTCTTGTTAAGTGAACTTTTTTCTTTACTTTCCAATTTTTTTCAAAATTTCCAAGATTGTTATCAGTTTTGTAATCATGGAAATAACTTAGGTTGCATGTCTGGTAGAAAACTGAACACTGCTGTCAGATGTTTTATGAGTGAAGGAGGTGCACTGGGGGTGGTGCGGAGGCTGCATGTCACATTCATGCCTTAAAAATTCCCCCCTTAATTTATCATTTTAAAACTTCCTTAAGAGGAATTTGCAATTTTCAGATAAAATTTTCCCCAGATGGTTTTTAACAAGTAATAAACTAAGAAACTCTATACCATACGCCTTAATTAGTTTGCATATTAAGAAAATATGATTTTCCACTAGATTGATCTTTCTGACTTCCTAAGAATCAGAAACCATAAAATCAAAAATGAGATAGTTAGGGATTGATATATTTATCTTTTTAAGGCCTGTTGAAAATCTTTGGAATATAATTATTGGAAAAATAGATTGTTTCATTAGAAAATTAAGCTATGTCCTTATAAAGATAAATCGCTTTTGGTGACATACTCACTGTGTACCTCGGGTGTTTAATAACAAAGTGCGGACTCACCCTGGAGCTGCTGCCGCAGCGAGTTCCACCCCCAAGCCTCCCAGGCGGGCTTGTGCACGGCGTCCCAGCTGAGAGCCTTCGGGGTGCACTGCTAAGCTAGAGGGGTGTCCTTCCAGGAGACCAAAAGCTCCACAGTCTTGTTGCTGGCATTTAAGCAGAGAGTGTGAGGACTGGAGTTAGAAAAGAGAGAAAGTCCCATGGGACAGTGTCCAAAGTCCCATGGGACAGTGTCCACCGTTTTTGTCTGTTTGAATGCACAGCACTGTTAAGTCAGTTCAGAAGTTACTTCTAAAGAAGTCGAGGAGGAAGTGTCACTGCAGGTTGTTGCCCCATCTGTGCCCATGGCGTCCTGCCTCCCCTGGCTCAGCCTGGGTACAGGTGGCAGGCCTGCTGGTGACCCCCCAAGGCCGGCCCCCTCCTTGCCTCAGGCCTTGTCCAGACCCCTGGTTTGTCAGACCCCGTGCAGCCAGAGGCACGTCCCTCTGCTGTAGGCATTCACATCCTGCCGTCGTAACAGTGCCTCAGCAGCTTTGCAAAGATCCTTTATTCATCCTGAAAAGGAGGAGTCCCTGCCTGCCACTGCCAGCAGGGGAAGTTCTGGGACCTCTACAGAGAGACGTCACATTCACATGTTCTACACAGAAATAGGAACCTCAACTTTCTTATGAACTGAAAAACAGGCCAGCCTCTAGGAAAGGGCCTTTTCTTCTCTGTTACACCAATCCTTTTTTTTAAAGAAAAGTATTTTGTCTTTCTGGACTACAGAAACACTTACTATAGACAAGTCAAGCATTATAGAAAACACACAGGAAGTAAAACATTACCTAAGACCACCAGGGCAAGATCTCAATAAACATTTTTTGAAAATTCTCCCTGTACATGTTGTATGTGCACATGCAGCTTTTATAAAAGTACATATTATATGTCCTGCATTATAAACAACTTTCCACACTTCGTGTGTTATGGAGATTTTTTTTTCCATTTCATTGCATATAAATGTATTTATATAATTTTTTTAAAGTAGCTGAAATCTGTGTTATGTAGGCAACTTGTTTATAACTAGGCTTCCCTTTCCCACGTTGAAAGCTATCTAGAACTTACCCTGGTGCTCGGTAAGCCCTTGGCATATGAACGCTGTCGTCACTGTGACAGTCATGCTCCCTGCTGGGCGCCAGCACCCTGGTATCTGTTTTCAGGTCTGTTGTTTCAGTGATTGTGAGGTGCCCCCAGGTGTCTTTTCTATACTCTCCCGCCACCTGCTGTCCGGGCTGTTTCCCGGTCCCTCCTTGCTAGGCTTTTGTTTTGGATCTTCCTCTGTAGATGTCTTCCTTTTCCAGATTTCCTACGAAATCTCCCTTGCTTTGGTTTTAATTCCTCCGCTGACATCTGTGGCGTGGTTTCTTCCGCTCAGTGTTCTCACGCCCCCTTCTCTCACTTTCAACAACCCCTGCTGTGTTGTTTGTGACAGGAGTGGCCCCCAGGCCATGAGGCTCTCAGTAGAGGGCCGGCGGGCTCTGGCAGACACGGAGCCCCTCATGGGGCTCCTGTGGGCTCCTCCCATGACCTCCACCCTGCCTGCAGAAACAGCCCCTGGGTTCCTGCGCCCTGGGCTCCCATCTGCTCCTGCCAGTCCTGTTCTTGCTGGTCAGTCCTGCTGGGGCCCAGCTGTGCAGTGGTTGGTGTCTCATTCGCTGACCTCACACACATCCTGTGTCCATATGAGATGTGCCACGACTGCTGTCACCCTGTTCTGATCTGCCCCCCATGCAGCCAGCGGGCAGTGTCAGGTCAGGGGAGGTCCCAGCTTCCTGTGGCCCTCTGCCCGGTCACCCCAGCGTGGGTGCCTCTCCTTCGCAACGTCCTTCCCCACTTCCTCTCTTGGCCTTCTTGACCCCACACCCACTTCAGAAATGCAGGTGCCCCCCCCCCTTGCCTTCCAGCCAGTACCTGATTATTTCTACAACTTTCTTGCTCTCGCAGCCTCACCTCCAACTCTTGGGGGCTGGAGCCCCAACTTGCCAGGTGGCTGAGGGTGCGGGAAGGGCCTGGGGTCTGTGACCTCACTGCTGAATGTACGTGTGGCCTTCTTTGCTTCTCCAACCTGTTTCCTTGGCTACCTGATGGTAATAATCCTGCACTGGCAAACCCCACACTCGCCGTGCCAATCAGATTGGGTTTGTTGCAAAGCTTGTACAAATGTGAGAACTGCCAGCTCTTAATTCCCTAAGGCACTGGCACCTGCTGGAGTTAAGTCTTCAGTCAATATTTGATGACCAAGTTGAATATTTATAAAATCAGCCGGTAAGGAAGCACCAGTCCTCTCTCCTCGTTCATAATTACAAGTGGTTTGACTGTATTGACATGGTTTTTGTGTTCAGATCAAGCTGCAAAGTCATTAAAATCAAGTCGTTTTTATGGGAGGCTATTATGATTATTATTCTAATAGCAAGCTCCAGTTGAAATAGTTATTAACTTCGTGGCTTTTGGAAGCATGAGCTCAGTGCACAATTCTAATGTGGATTCACTGTGAGTTAAACAACCATCCTTTCAATGTGTTTTGACAGATTTAGGCCGCAGTTCTGAGGCAGATAAGATTTCAGATCTTATTGACTCTGTCTGGGCTGAAGAAATCTTGATGTGTGCTTTCTAGAGCTTCCCAGGTGCGGAGCAGAATGGGCACTCTGTTGACTGAGAAGGTGCGACTTTCACCAGATGCACCCGAAATTGAGACAGAGACCTTGGTGGGCTCTCAGTGGAGACTCTCTCTGATCCAGGGCCGCAGTCCACACACACCGCAGTCACTCGTGGACCCAGCAGTCACACTCAGAGTTATTAGCAGGTTTCATTCTTGTCTGGAGCCCTCATGGAGAGGGGCAGCGAGGTGCCCTGCTGCTCTGGGGCTGCAGTTCTTGTGCCGGTGGGGGCCCCGCACTTGGTGCTCTGGGTGTCGTCTTGCCACCCTGGTTGCTGGGCAGGTGACCGTGCGTCCTGCCTGTGTGTCTGCAGGCTCCCCCGTAGCCGGTCTGTAGGGCCTGGGGCCTTCTGGGCTCACGGAGGTGCATGGAGGTGCCCTCAGGCTGGCGTCCCAGGAGTGCCTCCTCCCACCTCTGACACTCCTCCTGCTCCCCTCTTGCCCTGCCCAGGCCTTCTTCAGAGCTGGCAGGGGGAGGGCTTTTCTCACCCTCAGTCACGTTTTGCATTTCCCCTCTATTTCTGGTTTGCAGCGTTTCCCTGATGTAGTGATGCTACTGCTGATTGAGTACTTCATGCTGCTGCAGTCAATCAGTTGATACTTTGTTTAGAAGTCATGTTTTTCTAGTGTTGACGTTTATGGGAGGGCTGGCCTACAGGCTTCCCTTCCTGTGGAGCCCTCCTCTGGTTTTGAAATGAACACTGTGCTGTCCTCACAAAGCACTGTCACTGTCGCTGTCACTGTTACTATTCTCTGGAAATGTTTTGTGTGTTTGGCGTTTGTTTCTTTGTTAAAGGTTTCCCAGAAGTCAGGTGACTACAGCTAGGTTTGTAGCTGGCTGTGGGATTGTTCGCTGATGTATCTGCATAGGGCTGCTCACAGGGTCATCTTCCTGGTCGTTTAGAGTCCACAGGCAGGGTGTTAACACACGCCTTCACCGAGACTCTGTTTACATCTCCTCTGCCCGTCCCGTCCTGTCTGGTGCTGTTTGTCTGTCTTCACAGTGTCAGTGCTGGCTACTGCCTCTCTGTTGGATTTTCCTTTCCTCTTCCTTTCTTTTCTGTGCCTCTTATTGTTATTTCTTCTACTTTCCTCAGGTTTAAGTTGTGTTTTTCCAGCTTCTTGCTTATATCATTGATTTTTAGCCTTTTTTCTTTCCTGACATATTTAAGATTATAAATTTGCCTTTAAGTAGAGTTTAGTGGCATCCCAGATGTTTTCAGTTGTTATAATTTCGCTAAGTTTAAAATAGTCAATTTTTCTTATAATGAAAGCTGTATCTGCTCAGTGTCTTACGGTTGGAAATCAGAACAGTACAGTGAAGGAAACAACCTACAGTCACAGCACCCAGAGACCACAGCTGACCCCCAGCATCCAAACCTTCACTGTCTCAGTATCGTATTGTTTTCCTCTTAAGAAGTGCACACCCACAGTTATATTAAAAAGTATGATACGCTCACATTTTACAGCATTTTTTGCCACATCCTCCTCCTCGGATCCCTGTTTTATAGTCAGAATAGTAGGCTGAATGGCTCACCATCTTCACAGGCTGCATTCATACTGTGCTGTAACTGCTTGGGGAGAGAAATGACTGGAGGATAACATCGGTGACTGGCTCGGCTGGACGGGCCTGGAGAGAATGCAGATGCTGGGGAGAAATGAGAGCAGGTCCCTGGATACCACTCTTGGTAGGCAGTGAGGATACTCCCAAATGACTGCACACTGGTCCCCAGACGGCTTTACTGTGACATGATGGAGCATCCTATAGGTGACTTTTTTCCAAATCAATAAAGGCAAGAATGGATCCTAATGAAGAGAAATCTGATGTTTCCTTTTTTTAACTGAACCTGGAAAATTAAAAAATTTTCATAAGCTGCTGTCATTTTTCAGACATTAATATTTTACAAGACCAACTCAAGGGCCAGCCATTTGGAGGTGCTCATGAATCAGCTGTGGCCTGTCTGTTACACTAAGCAGGTCCCTAATGTCAGTTAATATCACCTTTCAAATGAAATGGGAGGGTGCTGTGCTTAGTCATCCACTGTGATTGGAGAGAGAGAAAAGACAGCTTGTGTGGGACTACATACTTGACTGTCATGTCATGACTTTATGAACAGTGATTTGGGCTTCACGCGAAGTTCCAGGCAGCAGCAGGTCTTCAGTTGTCACGTGCATCAAGAGAAAATCAAGGACCAGAGGTTAGGGAGGACTCTTTGCCTGTCTCTAGCAGCAGTGCCTGATGTGGTGACTGCTCCTGGCTGCAGGGCAGGGCCTCCATGTCACAGGGAGCGGCAGGGAGGCATGTGGGTGCCTAGATGGATGTGGAGCCCAGAACAAGGGTGGCCACAGCCTCGGGGACTGCAGGGGTGAGCCGTGGGCTCTTGAGTCTTGAGCCCCTCATCACGAGAACTGCAGCGCAAGGACCCCATGGTACCTTCCGTCTGACATCAGTGGCAGATCAAGGCTCCAGAGTGGGGCTTTCAGGGAGAGGGCTTTCCGTTCCATGGGGTGACACAGTGTTTCAGAAGTCTCACCACGACCTGTGGTGGGCCCGGGGATCACCCGTAAGAGCCTCTGAGTGTGGGTGGCAGCACCGCTGCCCTTGGTCTGCTGGAGCAGAGTGGATGTGTGCTGAGTGTGCACGGAGCACGCACTGCCACCAGGGTGCCAAGATGGGATGGCCAGGGCAGCACTGGCGGGGGTGATTCCTCTCAGGCCCCACGTCCTCTCGCAGGCCTTGCCGCCACATGTCTACTCCAGACCTTCAACTTCTCCGAGAGCCCAGATCTCCCCTTCATTCAGGTGTGCCCCATTGCTGGCTGGGATGGTTCAGTCATCACTTTTCTTCTCATCCCCACACACAAGTAACTCTTTAGAAGGTACTAAAGCACACTTAGAAAGCATAAGAATTCATGGTTTTTTCCCCAAAACTAGGAGTGAAATGTTACTCTGAATAAAATTGCAACAGCTCTTACATCCTTAAAATCACACCATATGTCATGATTGCAATAATGAATAAATACAGACATACACACATACCTTTTTTGGAAGAACAAGTAGGTTGTTAATTTATGGTAAACAAGTAGGTATGTTAATTTATGGTAAATCCCAGGATCCTTGATAGTGTACTTGGTTTGAATAAAATTAATAATCACTGAAGTAAATGTCTTAAGTTCCTTTTCTACTAAATTTATAAAATCCTAATGGAAAATTTATTTAGCCTAGTGAGTTTGTTATGTTCCCTTTACGGAAAATTGTTGTATTTGAATTTTTGTTTTTATAGATCAGGATCTTCACGATCTGCCAAAGAGAAGAAGAATTAGAAAGCATAAATCAAAGAAAAAATTTAAAAATCCCAATAACATTCATGTAGAACCAGCAGAATCAGAGAAACAGCAGAGTCTTCTGCAAGAAAAATTGCAGCCACGGCACACAGATGGCCCCACAATAAGCAAAAATAAAAAAAGGAAACTCAAAAAGAAACAGCAAATGCAAAGGAAGAAGGCAGCTGGCTCACTAACAGGAGCCTCTGGCGTGCACTTCATGTACCAGCCTGAGGAGACCAGCAGTGAGCAGGAGGATGTGCCAGTGACTGATGGAGAGTGCGCTGGGGGGGCCACGGGGGGCGGGGCTTCAGGCGCTGTGGAGGAGAGGATCCTGCCCCTTGAGGAGGGTGGAGTCCCGGATGCTGAGGAGGAAGAGGTGAAAAGTACCAATGAAAAGGCAGATGGTATCCTGAACTTTTTGAAGTCAACACAAGAAATTTATTTTTATGATGGTATGTTTTTTCCTGTTGTTCTGTTGAATAATGGCATCCACTCAATTGGAAAAAATGAGCAAATGTAAAATGTCTGAAAGTTTACAAAATACATTAAAATATTCAGTATTCAAAATAAGTTGTTAGTTTTGAGGCAAAAATGCAAATATTTAAATTCATCCCACCAAAGATCTGGGTTGACTCCCTGCCTGAGGCTTACCAGGGTTAACAGCCAGAGGTGTGGGTCTAGATGAGTGTGGTCTCCTCATCCTCATTTCTCTGAATATGTTGGTATTCTCAGCTGTATGTCTACAGAGAATATAAATCCAGGTTGGACTGATGAACTTTTGGTCGTTTTCATCAGCTGGTAGAGTCGTGAAGGAAGCATACACAGTGATTTGCTCCCCAATGTGTGACTCAGTGATTTGAGATTTTCCTGTGTTTAGGATACTTGAGCACTATTTGTACTGATATAGGACATGAAATTTATTCTGGAGTTTGTTCTGATGGGTGCTGTTTACTTACCTTTGTGTGGAGTCTGATAGCAGCCCTGAGGATCAGGAGCCAAGAGCAGAGTGCTGAGGTACCTTCCACCTCCCCTGATTCTGATCTGTCCCTGGTAGATTCTGGCAATGTGGTGGTTTAGTGCGTCCAGACTGTAGCACAAATGAGATGAGAAATGTTGACTATATAATAACTGGAGGGGTAAAGAATGGACTTAAACTGGGATGCAAAAATACCGTGCTTAGTGGATCCATTTTGACCAAGAAGATTAACTCTTTCTCTCTTTGTTTGTTTACCCACACTTTGTATTGATAATAAGTTGAAAACATCCTTAGCAAATATCCACGTGACACTAATAGGAGGACTGTAGAACAGAAATAGGATTCAGAGAGATTTCAGTAGATGATCTCTCTGCCTGAGAGAGTGGCTTCTGGCAGACAACTCTCCTGCCAAGGAGCCTGATGTGTAAGGTGAACTTGGGGTTTCAGGAGCTGCTGAGGAGGCCAAGGGCAGGTACCAGAGGAGGCGCAGCACAGGCCAGGGGAGCCAGATGCCTGCTGTCCTCCTCTCTCCAGGTGCTTGCCCTCCACCCGTTGGGTGTTTGTGCTCTGCCCCTCAGGTGTTTGCCCGTCCAGACGGGCTCGAGTGAGGGTCCAGGGGAAGGGGCAGCGCAGCCCTGGGGAGCAGTCTAACTAGCAGAGCCCTGGGGCTGCCCGGGTCTGGGAAGGAAGGTGGAGGGCCCAGAATTGGCAGCTCTGACAAAGGAAGGTTGCAGATCAGAAGCAGAGCTGCACTGGTCCCCTTTGAAGCTGTGGCCCAGCCCTGAGCTGTGGGATGGGGGGAGGGCCGCCTCTGGCGTCTCAGGGACCGAGCAGACGGCTAGACTGACCCTCCCATGCAGCACGCTGGCCATGCGCTTAGGTGCAGCTGGACCTCTGCCGGCCATACATGCAACCCCCGGCTGTCGGCTCTGTCAATGGACCCTTCTCTATCTGCCAAGCAGAGGCAGGAGAATGCCATGAGCCGAGCTCCTGAGAGTTTCTTGTGTATTTGATGGAGTGTGTCAGGTACATCAAGAGACAAGGTGGCATGACCTAAACCATGAGGAACAGCTTAGTAGAAAGGGGCCACGGGGTAGAGACGCTGCTGTTACCAGACGGCAGATCTAAAATAGCTGTGACTGAGATGTCCAAGAAGTGGGGAGAAGGTGGACAAGGATACAAATCAGAGACTTTCACCAGAAATGTTGAACCTATTAGGATAACCAAACGGAGCTTCTAGGCGTAGCAGCCACATAAGTCAGAAAGAAGCTCGCCCATGGGACTGGGCAGTGGGATGGGAAGATATGGCAGCCGGGAGCTTTTCAGAGCTGGCAAAGGCCACAGAGTCACAGGCTCTGGACATTCTATGAGCTCCAACTGGGGCTAGTGCAGAAACGGCCTCAGCCCGACACAATGGGGAGGGCGCTGTGGCTTGTGACCAACAGGAGAGCCATGGTCACCTCCTCAGCTTCCCCGAAGCATAGCAGACACCAGCAGGTTTGTTCTCTGCAGTTCCTGATGCTGTCAGAGGGCTTGGTGTGGTGTCTGTTCCCTGTGCTCTGTGTGTGACTTCTAGGACATGGGACACCCAGCTGCTTTACGAGTCGGTGCCCTAACAGACACCACGTTTCCACTGAGCTTCAATAATTGTATTTTGTTGTTTACTTTTCAGAGTTCTGCACTGATTGTCCCTCATGGCAACTTTTTGTATCCCAAACACATCATTCTTAAGTAGAAATATGAGTTTGAGGCTTTCTTTAAGAGGTGAAAGTTTATCTTCAGCTTACAAGAGTAAAAACGCAATTCTCAGTGACCCTGTCTTTGTTTAGATGTCTCCAAGGATTCCAATTCTGGTGTCTTTATGGAAAGTACCAACGAGCTATTTAAACAACTAGAAACTCACAGTGTGTCCCCCTCAGACGTATTCATTCTGGATCACATGAAAACGCTGCTACTTTTGCACGACACCAAGAGATTGAAGAGTGCCCTGGACCTGTTCCCGGAACACTGCAGGATGCCAGCCGGTATGTGCTCTGTTCATTATGCCTTTGGTTCATTGTGCTGCTTTAGAAACTTGTCTCGGGTTCACCTCTGAAAAACTTTCTCCACCAAAACAGTCCTGTATCAGAAAATGTAAGGCTGCACATATGCTTGAGGAGTAGGTTCCGACTCAAGGAGGGTTATGCTCCTTGCATCTCTCTTACTGTAAAAATATCTCCTGATATCTGCAGACATTCATGTGCAGTCTACTTTTCCAGACTTATGAGCTCCACTCTTAGGACTGAATTTTTACTGGTTTAAATGGAAGTGGAAGAGTTCATTTCTTTTCCCTTTTCTTTTTCCTCTGCTAGATGTGAAGATGGTCCATTTTCTGTCTCCCGGGTATGTTGATCTGCCTTCCTGAACCCCTGAAGTTAAAAGGGGGAGTTGAACCATTAGACGATTTCTCTTTTGTTTACTTCCTCAACCTTTGTTGGATACCTGTTCCATGCAAACTGTCAGGCGCTGGGGCTGACCGTGCTTGTGTGTTAATAGCGCCGTGGGGTGGGGCCTTCACATTGGCGGCTTGAAATGGGCCTCAGTGGGAATGTTCAGGCCACCGAAGTCTGCAGACACTGAGGATCAGAGGATCAGGATTGTTTGGGAGCAGCGTGGGGCAGAGCCCCTGTTAGACTCAGACAGGCATAGGACAGCCAGCCAGCTGAGTGGGTGGAAGCTCCTGCAGGTCACCTTACGGCAATGGTCTCCAAGTGAGTGCGGTGCACGGCTTTCCTCCTCGGAAGCCTCAGAGTACAGCTGAGGAGTCAGGCCGACGTGTTGAAAAAGCTACATGCCACGTTTTGTCACATGAAATAACAGTAAAGCTGATAGTAAAGCCAACAGTAAAGCAGTGTGGCGCTGATACAGTTAGCAGGTGGACGGGGTTGGACAAGACCCTGTGAGTCAGGGTCCTCAGGAGGACCTGCCTCCACTTTGATCCAGAGCTGATCCATGAGGGGCCTTACCTGCCCCTGCTGTGACACTGGTCCCACCGCAGCCCCTCAGTGGAGAGAGCAGAGGAGCTCCCTGCCCTTCAGGGTCGTGTACTCGTGGGGACGGTGACGTCAGTGAGGTGTGCTTTGTACAGCTGCACCCCTGGAGGAGACATGGGTGAGCAGGAGAGGGTGGGAGAGGAGCCGAGGCCTGGTTGCATCAGGCCTTGGGGGGCCTGCTGAGTGCGTTGGCTTTCGTCCTGGGAGATGGGGCCACTGGGAGGCCCGTGGCATGTGGCTGCGCTGAGCAGGGCCTCTTGGGCCATCGCACTCAGACCAGAGAAGGGGTTGGGGGCAGCGGGTCTTTGGTCATGCTCCCAAAGAGGGCCATCCCCAGGTGTGGTCAGATTTGGGCCAGGTGTGAAGGTGGACTTGGGTTTCCCTGCTGCCCGAGTGAGGGCCCTCTTTAGCCTGAGCTCATCATGAGCAGGAGGGGCAGTCAGAGTGTCTGGGACCATCTGGAGGTGCCTGTCAGTGTCCAGGGTGGGGCTCATGCCCCGGCAGGCTGCTGCCAGTCCCCTTCATGGAGCAGTGTGGGGCCTAGGGGACAGGGGCTTTGTCTTGGTGGGATCTGGAGTGTGAAGTGGGGAGCTGGGGGGTGAAGATGGTGCCTTCGAGGGTGTGTGCGCCAAGGAAGGGAGTGGGTGCACTTCTTATGGGAGGTGTGGGCTGAGCGCCCGAGAGCCGGACTCCCACCAGTGGCCAGGGGGACCCAGGGCCCTGTCCTCTCAGGACCCCAATTCCATGACCCCGTGTCTGCATTCTTCCTTCCTGCTGGTTGTCAGGCCCATTGTATTCAGTATTTTAGCATTTTTACTTCCATAAGGAAGTTTTTGCAAGAAGCCAGTTTTATTAAGTTAAACTAATACAGTGTTTTTATAAGATATGAAAACAAATGATTTACAGTCCAGCTGAGTTCCTCACACTGAAGGTGCTCCCTGCACATGGCTGAGATGTGTCAGGGGAACAGGGGCAGCGCTGGGGGCTTTAGTGAAAATCACTGGACAAGTTTTGCCTGGAAGCATTTATTTAACCAGTGGATGGAACTAAAATTTAGGTTTGAAGCACTTCTCTGAAAATAAATTCCTTTTTAGTGTGTCTGTGTAGGATATGCATTAGAAGTGTTTCCATGTCATGCTACTTTATAAAATCAAATCTTACAAATGGTGAAGCTTTATTTTCAAATATTGGTTCCATTTAATTCATTTTAGAATTCTGAAATTGTTTTCATTTTCATACAACTAACTTATGAAGCTTAGTCAGTAGCTACGTGTCTGCTGTCGATGGGATCAGCATGGAAATAGTAACATTTCAGTAGCAGACACCAGGCCCTTTCTCTCTCTGCTGCCTCAGCAGTTAGTTTTCCTAGTTTGTGGGTGTTTCATCAACTGGGTGTGGCAGCATATCCCACAGCCAGTGCACGTATTTCTACAGTTGGTCTGACATACCACATTCTGTCATCTGCATGTACATACAGTCACCATCTGTGGGGTTTGTATCGTGCTCGGCACACCATGAAGACCCTGCAGGCACCCCCACCCTGAACCTCCTGAGTCCTCTGTGTCCATTTTAGGCATCATCATGCGTGAGGCTGGGGGGCCAGGGGGCTGGCCTGGGGCAGGACAGACCATGCCTTTGGAGGCAGCTTGGCACACTTCTGTATGGAGCACGAGATGGACCCTGGGCTACAGTCCCAGCCTCTTCTCAGAAATGCATCTCAGCCTCAGCAGCAGTCAGCTGCCCCGTGGGCATCGAGGTCTAACTCTTGGGGTTGGAGCCTTGGACCTGGCATTCCCTGCCGTGAGCATCTTTACAAAGAGCAAGGCCTGAAACTAGGAGTCATGCCCTCAGCTCAGGCACTTTGCTGGGCCATTCCTGGGACAGTTCCTGAAACCTGAGTGCCATTCATCACAGCTAATCTCACTTAGAGTTATGCTTCTAACTTCCTGCTGCTTTGTCCACCTTTGATGTAAACTTATGTTTCTCTTTCACTTAGTATGCAGTTTTTTCAAGCTCAGGTGTTAAGCATATAGTATTGTGTGTGATGCTGTAAAGTGAAATACAAACATTCCAGACTGACCTATACTTTTGTGGGATTCACAAGTGTGTTAATTAGTGTCATTTCAGCTCCTAAGTTGTGCTTCATTTGATTAATTCAGGATTTACTTTTGGCCTAAGAACTAATAGTTGCAAAATAATAATTTATAATTTTTCTTTTTATTTTATTTTTTGTTCTGTTTTCCTTTTATTTTTCAGAATATGCCCAAGTAATCTTAGCTTTCTTTAATTACTGGATCACACATATCCTTCCTGAGAAAAATGATGAATGAAATCAGTGCATCTACTTAAAAAGAGCTAATATTTGACAAGAAAATAGAAAAGACAGGTATGAAATGATCTGAGACTTACTTCCTATACACAGAGGAGATGAAATTCTCTTCTAAGTTTTCTTTATAACCCAGACCCTGGGAACTCTGAGGACATTTCTGCCATATTTTTTATTTATATATTTGCACATAGTAGGTAAAGGTACTCTGAGACTTCAAGTGATAAATTGGGACAAAATTGAAAATTTCTTTGAAATTTTGTATGTCTTAAATTTTAAAATGGACATTCTGTTAAACTTAATAAACTGTATAGTTTGAAGCTATATGTATATATTTTTATGAAGTTTAAAATTACCTGTGTCTGAAAGTTTAAGAATGTTGTATGGGTATTAAAATGTTCATTTTAAGTAGTTTGATTCTACAGTAATTGAATTTATTTATTGTTTTCTTCTGTTTTTCTTCTCTACTTTGGGAATAATATCAAGAACATATTTTTCCTGTTTCCTCTTGTTGGGGAAGCCATCACCAGTTTTCAGTGAGATTGAGTTTTAAGAGCACCAGTCAATGCAGTGTTATAGTTGTCTCTACCTATAAAAATATACATTTTTTAATTGTGGTAAAATATATGTAACATAAATATGCCATCTTGAAGTGTATGATTCAGTAGCATTAAGTACATTCACAGCATCACGAGGTCATCATGACTATCCTCCCTTGTTTTAGGCTGAATGATGTTCCACACTGTTTATCTACCATCTGTCCTTGGACACTGGGTTGTTGCCCCTGTTTCCTCTTATGAATAATGCTGCTGTGAACATTACATACAAAATTGTGTGTGGACGTTTTCTTCACTTCTCTTGGGAGTGGAATAGCTGGGTCAGATGGTAGTTCTGCATTAACCTTTTGAGGAGCTTCCAGGCTGCGGTCCATAGCAGCTGTGCTATCTTCATCCCCACCAGCCAAACAGAAGTACCGAGTTCTCTGTGTCCCCACCAGTGCTTGTTGTTTTCCACTTCTCTGGTAGCAGCCATCCTCGTGGTTGTGTAAAAAGGCATTGCAGGTAGTTTCAGTTTACATTCCATGTACTCATTAGCTGTTCTCTCCTTTGGAGACATACTTGAAGTTATTACCCATTTGTGAATTAGATTATTAGCTTCTTGTCATTGAATTATGAGTTCTTTATACTGGGTCATATGGAAACTCTAGTTTCTTGACGAACCTCCATACAGTTTTCCATAGTGGCTATACCAGCTTACATTCCAGCCAGCAATGTAGGAGGGTTCCCTTTTTTCCATTCCCTCTCCAGTAGTTATTATTTGTAGACTTTTTAATCAGGGCCATTCTGAGCAGTGTAAGGTGGTACCTTATTGTAGTTTTGATTTGCATTGCTCTAGTAATTAGTGATGTTGAACATCTTTTCATATGCCTGTTGGCCATTTGTATGTCTTCTTTGGAGAAATGTCTACTTAGGTCTTCTGTCCATCTTTTGATTGGGTATGAGCTGTTTGTATAATATATTTTGGAAATTAAGCCCTTGTCAGTCACGTCATTTGCCGATATCTTCTCCCAGTCCATAGGCTATCTTTTTGTTCTATTGATGGTTTCTTTGCAGTACAAAAGCTTATAAGTTTGATTGGGTCCCATTTGTTTATTTTTGCTTTTATTTCTATTGCCTTGGGAGGCTGGATGGTACAAGTTATATCACAGAATGTTTGTCCATGAAATTTTATGGTGGCATGTATTACATTTTGAGTGTATTTTTTTATGAGGGTGTGTCCTTAACTTCATTGATTTACATGTGGTTGTCCAGCCTTCCCAACACTGAAGAGACTGTCTTTTCTCCATTATGTGTTCTTGCCTCCTTTGCTGAAGATTGACTGTAGGCATGTGGATTTTATTTCTGGGCTCTCTATTCTGTTCCATTGATCCATATATCTGTTTTGTTCTGGTACCATGCTGTTTTGATTACTCTGGCTTTGTAGTATTGTCTGAAATCCAGGAGGGTTATACCTCCTGCTCTGTTGTTTTTCCTCAGAATTGCTTTGGCAGTTCTGGGTCTTTTATGGTTCCATATAAGATTTAGGATTATCTGTTCTAGTTCTATGAAAAATATCAGGGGTAATTTGATAGTGATCACATTCAATCTGTAGATTGCTTCAGGTAGTATGGCCATTTTAGCAATATTAATTCTTCTAATCCAAGAATATGGGTTATCTTTCCATTTCTTTGAATCATCTTCAATTTCCTTTATTAATGTTTTATAGTTCTCAGCATATAAGTCTTTCACCTCCTTGGTCAGGTTTATTCCAAAGTTTTTTTTTTTTTTAATAATTAAATTTTTTTTAATTGAAGGATAATTGCTTTACAGAATTTTGTTGTTTTCTGTCAAGTATTTTTTAATGCAATTTTAAAAGGAATTGTTTGTTTTACTTGCCCTTTCTGACATTTCATTGTGAGTCTAAAGAAATGCAACCAATTTCTATATGTTAATCTTACATCCTGCTGTTTTGCTGAAATTATCAGTTCTAGTAGTTTCTGTGTGGAGTCTTTAGGGTTTTCTGTATATAGTGTCATGCCACCTGCATATAATGATAATTTTACCTCTTCCATTCCAGTTTGTATACTTTTCCTTTTTCTTGTCTGATTGCTATGGTGAGACCTTCAACACTCTGTTGAATAGAAGTGGTAAGAGTGGGCATCCTTGTCTTGTTCCAGATTTTAGTGACAGGGCTTTCAACTTTTCACCATTGAATGTTATGTTGGCTGTGAGTTTGTTATAAACAGCTTTTATTATATTGAGATATGGTCCCATAAATGGAATTGTTTTATTTTCTCTTCAGATTGTTCATTGCCAGTATACAGAAATGCAGCTGATTTTTTTGAAATGCAGCTGATTTTTCATATTGATTTTGTATCCCACTAGTTTGTTGAATTCACGTATTAGCTCTTAACAGTTGTGTGTGTGTGTGTGTAATCATTAGAGTTTTCTACATATAAGGTTATATCATCTCTGGTGAAGATAATTTTATTTCTTTCCTTCCACCATGGATGCACCATTCTCCAGGGTTCGTCTTCCCCCTCACCTCACCGTGTTCTTAAGAGGTGTCTGTCCCACTAAGTGGAACCTCCTGGAGGCAGGTGAATCAGCAAGGATGCTCTACTGGTTCTGGAGATCTGTCATCTTAAGACTTGTTTCTGTGAAGCTCCCCAGGCTTAATAAAAGCTGGTAAGTGGAGCCGCAAACCAGGCCTGGACAAGGAGAGGCCCAGCCAGGAGAGGTGACCGGCCAGGTCAGGTCCACTGACCAGGATGGGTCACTGGCCAGGACAAGTCCACCGACAAGGACAAATCCACCAGCCAGGACAGGCCAGCAACCAGGAGAGGTCCACCATCCAGGATGGGCCCCCAAGCATGATGGGTGTACTGTACCCCAGGGGCTGCCTCCTTGAGAATGGATGCTGATCCATTTTCCCCATGAAGATGGGAAAAGAACACAGCCACACCCCGAAGTAGGAGCTGTGGCAGCTTCCTGTCTACACCTATAACGGCCTTCACTTACCCCTCAATGGAGACATACTCAGCCGCCGCCACTGCCTCTTCCTCCTGCCCTGAGACGTCACATTGGTGAGGTCAGAGGCTGGGGAATCATGTCCCCTTCACCACAGGGTTGACGGGTCACTGGCAGGCAGGTGATGTCAGCCTGCTGCCTCCTCTCCGGAACATCCCACTGCCTTGGGCGGGACACCTTACTTTCTGATTCGCCAGGTTGTAATTCTTTCATTAAGATGCCTCCTAATTAACGACACATTTGCCAGTATAAAAATAAAGTATTGGCTGATTCATAATTTCCTGTTATTTCTCCACCTCTGATTTGCATCTTTTAGTTATACACAATTTACATCTTTTCCATGCCCAGCAGGTGGATACACTGTTGATGGATTCCAGGGAAAACTTCTTATTTGCAGATAGGACTTGACCTTTTACTTGATTCTTTCTGGTCTCAGCACAGAATCCCTGTAAACCCTTCTATCAGCTCACTGGGAGACCAGGACAGGTCACCAACCAGCACAAGTCTCTCTGACCACACCCTGAAGGTACAGAGGAACAAGGGTGTAACTGAACAGGTAGGGTAGTTGGGGTTAATCAGTTTTGTGGATCATCCTAATTTCAAAAGAAAAATGCCTCGTCTAGAAAACGTAAACAAATAAATCCATGTCTCTGTGTCAGCATAAATACAATAATCTGATTCTCTCAGCATGATTGCAGTTGGATGGTAATTAGATCAACTTATCTTTTACAATCGTGCAGGATGCTTATTCAGTCGTGTCACTTGTTTTCTGTAAATCATACCAATTAATGCAGACAAAGGAAGCTCTCAAGAATATGAGGAGTGCTCATCAGCTTGCTGACAGTGAGGTGGATGTGCCAGGCAAACACCCAGGCTTTCTTGAATCCTTAAGTCTCAGCAAGTGGAAGAGGTGGCTGAGTCTCACCACTGCCCCCAGACCCGGAGGCTCAGTGTTTTCAGAAGAAATTGTCCTGGGTTCATTCATCCCCACTTGGCCGGCTCTGGGTTTTCCTCTCTGTCCAGCACTGTCTGTGCCCAGTTTTTCTGTGGTACTTGTCTTCTCATTCAGAGAGTCTGGTGAAAACTTGGGTCCCCTCCAAAGTATGAAGGGTGCACAGAGCTAGCCCACCACACACAGAGACACTGCACAACTCAAGGGGTTGCAGGGTCCCCAAAACCCACTCCACATGATAGACTACCACAATTTCAGTGGCTAAAACAGCATCTTTCATTGCCTCCCAGTGACCATAGGTCAATCCCAGGCTTAGCCAGCTGTGTCCTGGGTTTGGGACCTAGGGGCTGTGCACAGAATTGTGTTCCTGTGGCTATGGGACCAAGGTCCTAGTTTTCTTGTTGGTTGCCAACAGAGGCTACTCTCACCTCCCTGAGGCCCCCACAAGCCCCAGCTCCCCCTGAGCCTCTGCCCACCTGCCAG